TCTCTTTATTATTTATAGATAGACATGCACCCCTACGTACTTTTAGAGTAAAGGGACGAGACAATCCTTGGTTTTCTGCTGAACTGTCCAGTCTCCTACATGAGAGAAACAAGGCCTGGGCAAAGGCTAGGAAATCAGGCTCAGAGGTAGAATGGCTGCGTTTTAGGCAACTAAGAAATAGCTTCACTTCACAGGTCAAAAGTGCTAAGTCGAAGTACTATTTGTCAGTTACCACAGAAAACCTAAATAATCCTAGGAAATTTTGGAAAGTCATAAAATCGCTATCCACCGGTGAGATCCGAAATGAGCTACCTCCGTGCATTACCACAACATCTGGCTCTATATCGGACAGGGCTACTATGCTAAATTGTTTTAATGAGCATTTTGTGTCCTGCGGTTCTATGTTTGATTCTGTGACTAACTCTGCTACTGTGAACACCACAGTCGGTGACTCTGAACAATGTGGTCTGGAAAACCCTTTCAGTTTTACTCCTTTTACTGTTGATGTTGTTCGTGAAGCTTTAACCAAGTTAGATCCTAAGAAACCGGCCGGCCCGGACAACGTGGAACCTTTCTTTTTAAAGATAGCTGCTGAGTTTATTGCTCCACCTCTCACTACTCTTTTTAACCTCTCCCTCAGCACAAACACAATTCCAAAACTGTGGAAGTCAGCGTATGTCCTGCCTTTGCTGAAAGGAGGGGAGGCAACTGTTTTAAATAATTATAGGCCAATCTCTAAATTATCAGTTCTGGCTAAGGTTCTTGAACGCCTAGTGAGTGAACAGGTAAAGGTGTTTTTATGTACAAATGACATCCTGTCTAAACATCAGTCAGGCTTCAGAAAGCAACATAGCACCATCACTGCCACAATGAAAGTGGTGAATGATGTGGCGAGTATTTTAGATAATAAGCAGAGCTGTGCAGCTCTATTTATTGACCTTTCCAAAGCGTTTGATACCGTCGATCATCGCATCTTAAAGCAGAGGCTACTCAGTATTGGCATATCCAGTCATGCAGTGGGGTGGTTTGTGAACTACCTCTCTGAAAGGTCCCAATGTGTTCATTTTGATGGGCTGTCTTCAGAGTGGTTAAACATTACTAATGGTGTTCCTCAAGGTTCTGTTTTAGGTCCACTTTTATTCTCCATCTACATCAATAGTTTAGGTGAAAATGTCAATGGAGCAACCTTACATTTTTATGCGGACGATACCGTTATGTACTGTGCATGTCCCTCCATTAAGGAGGCTGTTGTTGAATTGCAAGCTGCTTTTAACATTATTCAGACTCAGCTCTCTGAACTAAAGCTTCTTTTAAATGTTGATAAAACCAAGGTAATGCTCTTTTCAAAAGCCAAAAAGACACCAGAGCCTGTTTTAGATATTTTAACTACGCAAGGAATAAAACTTGAAGTGGTTGCCTGTTACAAATACCTTGGTATCTGGCTTGATGATTGTCTCACTTTTAAACGTCATGTCAATAACCTGCTAAAAAAACTGAGGGTTAGGCTAGGTTTCTTCTACAGGAACAAGTCCTGTTTCTCGCTCGAGGCCAGAAAAAGGCTAGTCTCTGTGACCTTTTTACCTGTGCTGGACTATGGTGATCTGATTTATATGAATGCACCTGCCAATTGCCTGGTCAAGTTAGATGCTGCGTATCACAGTGCACTGAGATTTGTGACAAACTGTAAAGCATTAACTCATCACTGTACCCTGTATGCAAGGGCTGGTCTGCCTTCACTAACTGTACGGAGGCTCAGCCACTGGTACATTTTTATATATAAAGCCATGTTAGGGAAACTTCCATCCTACATCTGCTCCCTGATCTCACGGCGAATTGTAAGTGGCTACTGCCTGAGATCGCATGCTGTGGTTTTATTAAATGTGCCAACTGCTAGGACTGTCTTAGGGAAAATAGCATTTAGATGCGCAGCTCCACTGTCCTGGAATAGTCTGCAATTAAAATGGAAACTGAGCAATCTGGTGCCACTAAATGTTTTTAAAGCTCGGTTGGATGCTACTGAATCGGAAGCTGTTGGTACCTGTGCATGTGGATAGTATGTAAATTGTAATCCCTGTAATGCTACTGTATGATGTCCTTCTGTTGTTCTGTTTATGTTTTTAATGTTTCATGTGGAACCTACTTGAGCAGGTCTCCCTTGAAAAAGAGATCAATGATCTCAATGGGATACAACCTGGATAAATAAAGGTGTGAAATGAAATGAAATTATTGGAGCAGGAACTCATGAGACAATCAATACAAAGAACACACAATAATCAGTTTGAGCAAATAGTTAGCCTACTTCATTGTTATCGATTTATTTTCAGAGGTCCTCGAGGGCTTTTCTGCAGCCACATGTATGACCTAAAATCGTGTCTTTGTGGTAAAGAGATTCATCAGAAGACCTGAAAACAATGTGTCCATCAAGCATTTTCTGAACATTTTTGTGTTGCTTAGTGAGAACAGAGAACATTGGTTCAGCTAAAGCAGCACTCTGACTTGTAGATTTGTAGCTACTGTCTTTTTTGGGAGCACCAGAGGGGAGTACATCACAATAATCTACTGCCTGTTGGTGATGACAGCGTCCATTAGTCTTTCACAGTTCTCTGGAGAGAGACATTACCTGACCTTGGTGTATTTCAAATGTGAGAGAAAGCAGTTTGGCAACGTCTGTATTGCTCTGACCTCAGATCAATAACCCAGTTTTTTACGATACCAAGCATCAGCAGATTTAAACTTCACTGTTGGACAAAGTAATACACCTTCTAGTAAGTAGGCTAGCTAATAACAATAATATTAATGATAATGATTACTTAAACAACACATATCAGGATGTGAAATGATGGAAGATGCTCTGTCAGGTGAAACCACAGGTAGTGCTGAAATGCTCCCTAACCGTGTAGACTTTTCATTGGGTGTAATTAGAGAGTTGTTGCACGCCACATTAGAGGCTTTGGTGACAAATGACTTAACGAGCTACACAGGGAGTCCTAATTATTCTCCAATTAGAAAAGTAATTGTGGGTTACTCCAATGGCTGGCTTGCTAGTTGGCTAGCAGTGCGAGGGTGCAGAGACAAAGTAAGCATCACAATTAGATGGCAGCTAATCTGTCACACATGGAGTTGCAAAGACCTCTGATCACAGCCTCACTTCTAGTTTAAGGGCCGGGCTGGATGGAGTTAAGGCTCTGAGTCTCTAATCCATCACTGTGTACCTAAAACAAATTACAACCAGTGTCCAGACTTCTGCTGTTCTTAAACACCAGATAGAGTTGTCCGGCAGGTAATGGTTTATAATTGTAATCCCCTCAGCCCCTTAAGAGAAATATACCTTATTAAGTTGCTGCACAAATGTACATTAGGCACTATAAGATCAGCTCATTGAGGTATAGAGAAGGTAAGAATGAGAGGATACCATGGCCTTTTATTTAACATCAAACCAATATTATCATGTAAGAGAAGTGAAGTCAGAGGGGGTGTTAATCTGTCCTGCAGCAACAGTTCCTTCAAAAGTCATTTATCAATATTGTTGCTGTTTGTAACCCTACAATAAACCTGTGGATTTTCCTTAAGACAGGACCCAAGTCAATATTTTCATCATTCATTTTGTGTGATTACCCGTAGATTAATTTCAGATTTGGCATGTTCCCCCGACTTACTGTGTACTGACTGAAAGAATCAATTAAATGCTCTCTTTTCATTTATTGGATTTAATGAGTTGGAAGTGTCATGTCTGAACTCTGTCTTTCTTTACCAATAAGATACAAATTACAATAATTTCCCTGACAATCCAGTACAGTACAGTATACAGCCTTAAAGTGGATGCAGTTAAACAAAAATGTTGTAACGTTAATTTATTACTCAATTGTGCCTTTTATTTTGTAAGTTTTGATATTTATAATTTTAAAACATCCTGCCTTTTCACTAGTGATGTTACTGATGATGTCAACATCAACGTTTTCAGAATCTTTGGGGAATACAAATCAAAGCCTGTAGTGTGGTTCCAATGCTTCTGTGTAGATCATTGTTGACCAGCTTTGAGTAAAATATATAAAAAACTTCAAATTATTAAACCACCCCTAGGTCCTCGACTGTTTTTGGACATACACTTTGGCTTTATCATATTTTCTAGTTTTAGGGTGAACATTTCAACAGATTTGGTCCAAACTATCCAGGTTATGGGTATGCTGTATGTGTGTGATGCAATATTGACCCCTGAGGCATGTAAATCATCGCTTCAGCCAGAGTTAGTGTAGGGTCAGCTTGATAGCACCATATTATTGGTATGTTTCTATATTTACAAAATATATTTGTTCTTAAAAAATAGTTTATATGCATATCAACACCTTGAACAGTTTTTATGATGAAGATCCCCCTGGTCTCACTTGAACATTTTACTGCCTCAGAAGAAAACAATCTACAAAATAATAAAGCCTTTTGTTTATGGGTCAGTGTGCGTAGGTGTGTGTGTGCCGTGCTTACAGACAGTGTAGGGCCCCATGCACTATAGTGCTATGTTTTAGTAATGAGGCTCTCGTGCCAGGGAGAGGGCGTAGTAACTATCCCCTCCCTGAGCTCGATATGACCCCCAGCCTACTCTGCCTTTAACCATTCATTTTGAATTTTAAAATTGGTATCCATATACTCACCAGAGTTTAGAAACACTCTGCATGCATGATATGACTCTCAAAAGGAGATTTGCAACAGATCTTTATATTTTCATGAGCCAGGTCGCAAGTTGAGGCATTAAACCATCAATATCTAAAATGAAGAGCTCTTGGCAATGTCTTCCCTTACCATCTTATTTAAGTTAATATTTGTAGGTGTAGGTGTGTGGCAGTATATAAGTATGTCAATGCATTTGTGTGAGTATATACTGTCCGCAAACCTTTAAAAATAGTTATATTTCCTAATGTGTTAGCAATTACAAAAAACGACATAAAAAAGAGAAGTAAAGCAACACAGCTGACATAAAAACAATTGGGACTCCAACACATTTGGGATCAGACTTTTAATTGGACTTAAATTCACATAAATAACATTGGTTCATATATATTTTGTATATTATACAACTTTATATAATATATATTTCCCCCTATGATTTACATTCCTCTCTGGCTAAAAGTATCTCTCATATCTACGGAAACAGACAGCTTTGCTTAAATGCAACGCTGCTCTTTTTGTGCTGTTTATCAAGGTCCAAGGGCCAAAAGGAGAGGAGCGTGTTTCTCATGAGTTGTAAAAAATAATTTCCCAAGTTACACAGACAAAAAGCAAAAAGGAGAATCTATTGTATTGTCTCTAGGGTATTACACTGCACTACAAGGAGTGGGTAGCTATTGAAAATCATTCACCGTATATATATTTTACTGTATTGACTTGTGACACAAAGAAAGAAAGAGCACTGCAAAATATCTGATATGCATGGTAATGAACATTTCGTTTTTGAGTGTTCTTGTTATGGTTTATTTTTTAACGTATGCTGTACGCAAGATAAGAAACCCCATCATGAAGATAAGGAAAGATTGATGAACCAGCAGCAAGGTCACATAATCATGCAGTGACCCAGCCAAACACGCTTGCACAGATGAGTTGAGCTTGTCTGGATCACAAATCAGCATTTGGCCGCTTCGAGTCTGTGACCGACATTATTCAACACAATGGGTGGATATTTGGAAGTCAGGTAACATCTACTAATCTCCTTGACAGAAAAAAAGAACTCTCTTTTCATACTGGAGCTCTTCCTGCCTTTGACCAGTGGATTATCTCTGTTGCCTGTAGCATCTTATAACATCAATACCTCCATCACACAGTAACCTTAAATGACCACTGCAGAATAAAAGCTGCACTGGCGGCTATGACATGTCAGATTTTCACTACTTTTCTATTGCTTTGAGTTTTACATCACTTGGTCTTTTGCTTGAACGTATCATATGGTAACTAGCATATGATTGAAATCAGTGTTTGCCTGTTTTTTCAAGTCGAGCAAATCATATTCTGTCAACACAAATGTTACATTACTTTAGACAGCATGTATGTAGTGATGCATAACAGAGTGGAAATGGCCAGTAGGTGTCAAATCTTTGAGACGCTGGTACAATATGTAAAACACCTGCTTTTTGTCAACCCAACCTCAATTGTCTCAATCCTGTTTCATGCTACACAATCACTTACATCTGCATTAACTGTGGTACACATTTGATTGTCTGAATCAAAGACACTACCTGAATGCCAAGCCAGAAAGAAACCACACTGTGCCTTTGAATCCAAATAAAAAGTAAGTTCCAACTTCAGCTGCTATCTGAAAAGTGAACAATAACCAAAAGAGGTCAAGTCTATTGTAAGCGACAAGTCATGACTGATGAAAAACAAGATTTAGTGGACTTTAAGCTCCTTAAGTTACCCAGTGAAGCGGTGTAGGATCCTACAATGTTTCATGCATTTATCACAATAAAGCCAACCTAAACGAAACATGATGTGTAGGTTTGTGTGTGTATGTGCGTGTGTGTGTGTTAACAAATCACAGAGGAAAACACAATCATGCCATGACATTGCGACAGACAGCAAGTTAAGTGTTAACCCCATCCTTCCCTGAATAGTCAAAAACAAAGTGAAGTTTTTTTTTTGAACAGTTATTAGTTTATCATTTCATCATGATAAAAAAGCATAAACATCACCATAATCATATCCCTTTTCTAAACAAGATAAAGTTAGTATATGCTATCCAAAAGAGCCATGGGGAGGGAAAGTCACGGGTTGTGTTTAAAGTGTTCAAAGCACAGTGAAAAAACATTTAAGGGGCTTCTGTTTAAGGACATCAAGGTTAATATAATATTTTGAAAAGTGCTTTATTAGAATACACTTATTTATGGGTAATATTCAATAACCATCAATAACTCTTGATCATAAATATATATATTTTTTAAATATGATATTAAATGAAAAAAATGGATGATGTTGATTTTTTCAGAGTGAACACAACCAGCAGATGTGAAAGTTGTTTCTTTCCCTCCCCATTACATCCCTGTCACGCAGCTCCATCTACTTTAACACTCATAGAGGGGAAATAGTGTCAATGAAAAAGTGCATCATTAATATGTTGAGATTAATTATAAAGTAAACCATATTTTTTTCATAAATAACACTTTTTTCCTCTAATATTCAATAAACCTCTTATTTTACAAGATGAGTAGTCACATGATGCAAATCTGCCCCCTACGATCATATCAATATCTGGGAACAAAGTTAATACTTCCTGAAACTTAGGAAGCTACAGCCGGCAACACAAACCAGACTGCGGTGTCAAATATAGGAGGAAGATCAAGGAAAAGACTTAAGCAATGACCACTTAAAGCTACTAAGGGTACAACACATAAACAGTGATGCGGTGCATCTCAAAACGTGCCCTGCTAGCTTGTAGTTGTGTTAGCATGATGGTAGCATGTACTTCACACAATAAAGCTGACTCAAAAAGGCACATCAACATCTAAAGGAAGAAATGTTTCAGAAAAATGCTTGTAAGCTTTCTTGTTGAAAGTTAGATAATACCACTCATGTTTCATTATGCTAAATATGAAGCTAAGGCCAACGAGCTGTTAGCTTAGCCTAGAACAAAGATGGAATAACATGTAGCTTAGCTCTGTCCAAAGGCAAAAACCCCCGTACTGCAGCACGTGCAAGGCTTGGGAATGAATATGTTCTATGACGTTTTTTTAACTTTTGTAAACTTTTCACTGTAGTTTTACACAAAGCTATGTGCTGGAATTACTAGACAGGAACAGCCTTTATGCTACGCTAAACTAAGAAAACTGCTAGGTCTAGCCTCATATTTAGTATACACAGATGAGTGGTTGTGATCTTTTAGATCTAACTCTTGAGCAAGAAAACTTCAAACGACTCCTAAAGCCACTCATTTGTTTAAAATTAAATATATCTGTTTGTCAAATTTAGTTCACATGACATGTCACATCGCCTTGTTAAGAAACAAAAATTGAAATTTTGGAATAAAGATTTAATATCTGTAGTCAGAGGAAGAATCACTAGATTTGTTTACCTCTGCATTGTTGAGCATCCTTTTTTGTAATTGAATGCATAGGAGACATTATTTCACTATTCACATGTTGTAACTTTAAACTCTAAATGGCTGATGTGAACCGTCCCTCCTTGATCATCTGCCTAGGGTCGCATCGGGAGGAAGATAGATCAAAAAGGGAGACCTTAAATGGTCATAAACCCAGATGTCCATCCCTGCCCTCACCTATTCCAGGGCATCTTGTGAATTGTAGTTCTACTGACATTTGTAGTCAAGAGACCTTGTTCCTATTCACTGATGGATTTGCAAAGCTTTGGATAGCCACAAACTAACAGGACTGACATTTTTCCAGACTGGTGTGCATATCTCCAACACTTTCTAAACTCATAAGAAAGTAACTGGTCCTCTCTTAATGCAGAGGATACAGCAGAACACTGTCAATGTCCCTAGGCCTGAGTGGACTCTCTGCTCGGCCATTCATGGGCTTTTCTCAGTGGCAGCTCTTCAGCCCAGTCAAGTATGGTGACTCTTGTCGGCACAGGCCCATCTGCTGCTGTTGCTGCTCTTGAAGATCGGAGGCCAAACCATCGACAAAGTCGGGGACGGGTAGCCCTGAGAGAATCATGACTGACTTGTTCCAGATCATGAAACTGGGAACAACGGGCAGGAGGAAGGAGACCTCAAAGGTGTGAATGTGCTGGGAGTTCATGGCATCATGGAAGGACAGTGAATTGTTGTCGTAGTCCAGCAGGACACCCAGCCGCCTCAGCTGCAGGCTTGCCTCCACCAGCATCTCCTTGCCATCGTGGCGCACCATAAAGTTGTTGTTGCAGCGCGAGAACACCCATGAGGATGAGTTCTTGCCGCTCCACTCGTTTTTCGGGGCTGATTTGTAAGCTACGCCGATGGCATACCTGCAGGGAAGGAACATTTTGGAATGCATTAGTGATCTGAAACTAGTGTCCTCCTTAATGACTCTACTTGCACAGTCAAGCTACCTCATGCTGAGGACACACAACATCGGCACAGGCCCTTTGGGTGTTTCCTGCATGAAGAGGTCTACTTCAGAGCCAATTAGTGAAAGAACACAAATAGGCTAAGAGTATACACTGTGTGTGGTGAGTGTGTCTGTTGAGAGTGGGTTTGCATAACAGCCTAGATTTAAACTCCCCTAAGAAAAATATTTCGGTTTATTGAGTTTCATTGCAGGCTTTTTTTCTTACCATGTGGACGCTCCAAGCAGCACCTCCCAGTAGTGGCACCCGCTGTCAATGAAGACATTACCAGCTGCCCCATAGGAGCCTGTGCTGCTGAAGCGCTCCGGGGTGTGGCTCTTCTTCAGCGAGCTCTCGTCCTTCTCCATGGTCAGACAGTCGTTGGACAGACGCAGCTTCTTGTGGGCAGTCTTTGGGTCCAACTTGAAGGGTTGACCTGTGAAAAGACAAGCATTTTGAGCTTTAAATTGTCTATTATTAGTGTGTGTGGGCGTTTAATGTCGCCTGTTATAATGATAGTGATCACATTAACATGATTACCTAAGATCCTAAATGTAATTATTTTTGGGCAAAATGGCAACCGACATCTAGAGTCAGAGTTCATGAACATGAACATACATGGAGACCAAAAGTGACAATCACTACATTAAGAATAATATATCAAAAGGAAATGAGTTACTTAGATCCAGGCTAATACAACTCCATGCCTTCGCTTAGACACAAGTAGTTTCCATTCTTTTGAATCGCGTAATGGGATATCCCAGTACAGAAGAAGTTAGCAACTGGCATTGTTATGCAAGTTTAAGTTTTAAGTTGCCTTGGCTCTAGACATATTTTTAGCTACAAAACTTTTAAAATTATTGATCAAAAACCCAATGCAAAAATGTGAAATCTAACATGATTAAAAGATGTTGTTCCCCGCCAATATCGTCAAGATACAACGAGATCAAAAGGTGAGCAGAAAGAAAGAATACAAATTAGAACAGCATATTAACTGAGAGAGACAGCAAAAGACCAAAATAAATAGAAAGTAGGAAAGTGCTTGCAGAGAACTCACAGAGAGAGAGACAGAAGAAGAGAATGTTTGAAATACAACGGCGAGAATCTAAACTTCAAAGCCTATTGCAGCCTTTGGTGAAAACATTTCATAACAGCAGAGGAAGCCACCCGGCATTCTCCTTTGTGCCTACCATCACACAGACTTGGAAATTAGCTGAAGGAAATAGCCTTCACTTCCACTGCAGTAAGGAGCCGTCGTGGCTACTCAGCGGAAATGCTGATAACTGGTTGCAACTATTCAATTTGCACTGACACCAGTAATTTGGGTGTAATGGGTGGAAAATTGAGAGGGCAAAAGTAGGTGAGTGGCAGAGGGAGAGAGAGGAGTTAGGGAGTGAGAAGGAGAGGAGAAGTTGAGGGGATAATATGAGGCCAAAGATTGGGCACAGGATCCCCTCTCCTCCTCTCCATGTCCGTAATCTGTGTGAGTGTGGGCTTCATGGAGGTCAGCCACGTCCCATCCAGGCCTGACATTTAACTGTGACACCTCTCATCTCATCTCTCAGCCCCCCCGAGCCTCCCACAGCTTAATGAGCGACACAATGAGGACCCCGACTCCTCCTCCCTTCCCTCTATCTGTCCTTCCCTTCATCTCTTCCCCCATTCTCTCATTTCATCCTCTCTATCCTCTCTCCTCTCTCACACACTCTCCTCCAATAATCTGTGTGGTGAGTGTGTGTTACCGCGTGTGGATATGAGGCGACGAGGCCAATGTGCTGCTGGCAGCCAATTACATTAATGCGCTCTCTTCTTTGAACTGCTTATCGCTGCCAGCGCAGCCATTTCCAAACACTGGGGCTCTGTCATGCCTTTCCAGGGGATGACTCCTGAGAGCCGGGGCCGGGCCCGAGGTTGGGGAAGGGGGGACACACGTGACGGTATAGAGGACAAGGAGACACACACACAGAGCATCAACTCCGACCTACACACAAGCAGAAATACAGTAAGAGTCCAAGTGGAAATGTTTTGAATGCCAACAGGAAGCTCGGATTTAAAATATTAATTTTCCGTATGACAGAATACATTTGTTGGTACGAGGCTGGTAGGGTGCTCAAAAAGGAAACTGAATTTGGAGGTTTGCACAGGGAAAATGGCAAGTGGACTGCTAAAAGAACTCTTGCACTCGGTTTAAATTGCCATAGTGTTGGAAAGATGGAAAATGACCTTTTTTCAAACTTTCTTACAACCTTGAATGCATAATTGTCTGCAACTGCACATATATACATGCTCAATCCCGTACTGTCAGATTGTAGACTACGGACAATAAAGACACAACAAGATAACAAAAGAATATATCCCACAGAATGGATTCCTTGGCAGTGACTGTCTTTAGTCTGTTCAGACTCTGCAATAAAGTAGCAATTAGATGTATCCAAATGTCTGCTGAGGTGATAAGTGCTCCCTGTTTAACTGCCTTGAAGCTGGGCATTGTCACCAAATGGGAAGTCTTTAATGGAAACTTGTAAAACACAAAAAAATAAAGAAAAGAAGAGGGGGGAAATAAAAGGAACTACTGTCTGGAGGACATTGATATAAAGCAATTTCATTCCAACTTCATTTCGCAGAGTCCTTGTTGGAATACTTGCAGTGGGATAGCATCTGGCTAATCGACTTTATTTCAATTCAGTCAATTTCACTGCTTTTCTTTTTTCCCTGGCTCACACATTTTAGCTGGGAGAGATTGAGCTGCCTCTGTAATGAGGGAGATAGAAAAAAGGGATCCCATTTGACTGCATAACTAAACAATTACTGCAGTAGAAGCAGCAGCATCAGGGACTTCTCTAAAGCTCTAACACAACCGTATAACTTTTCACAGGTCTCAACATCTCTGTTGAACTTACAGATCCTTCCCTGGCATTAAAATGCATGGCTGCACGTCACTTGGCTTCTAACTGACTGAACCATATGTAATGTGGTATTTAATCCTACAGTGCTGACTACTGTACAAAAAAACACAGATTTACACTGGTGAGATTACAAATGAATCCACCATGTAACATGGCTATAGCACAGCAGGCATTCATGACAGTGTGTTTTACTTGGTTTAACACAACCATAACAACTGAAATTGTCTTTGTGTAGTAAAGAGCAAAGACAAACAATCACTGATCTTCTCCGACTTCACCCTTTAATGAACTCGGCAGAGTCTTAAGAGACCAGTGCTAGAAAAAAAAAAAGTTCAGTAAGGCTTCTGGGTCTGCCAAGAAATTCACTCTGTGATTAAGGAGCCGTTTTTGGAAGGAAAGTTTATGTTATGGTTCGTTAGAGTAAAAGTATGTGAAAGATTTCCCCCCCCCCAGAGTGAGCGTCAGAGTATTAACGACTGTGTGTGTGTTAAGTGCAATCATCCACTAAAACTCTGCTTGTTTTTTAATGACACATGTCTTATGCACTCCTTTATCATTACACGTGTTCTTACTGTATTGCAGATAAAAAGGGCTTTAATGCATTATAAAATAATATCAAGGGTAGCTTGGTGAGGTGCACTGCACACAATCTGTCTTGGAGAAAAATGAACAAATGAAAAATATTGAATGAAAACAACAACAACCCGCCAACTGGCATTTCACCCCGCTCAGTAGATGAAGGAAGGCACTTTGGGCCATTGAACAAATCAGAAAATCCAAGAGTTCCTACATTATTGAGATTATGAAACCAAAAGGAGCTGTGCTAACTGTTTCTTTGTTAATTAGTACAGCAGGACCTATCTATGCTTGACTTCTCCACTCTTGCTCCTTTTGAAATACAGTTTGTCAACATCAATAGCCTCCATTTGACAGCAAACAAAGTCAGGAAACACAAGAAGACAGCAAAGGGAGTGACATGCCTTGTGATGACACAGTGTGCATCATATACCACTATTTCATGAGACACCCCTCTCCTCTTCCTTTCTTTCATCTACCTTCGTCTCGTCTCCACCTCCTAATATTTGCTTTAGGGCTGTGTGGCAGCTTGAGGACTGTCATCAGAGGTGCGTGCTGGGTAAATATTATTGCAGGTTCTTTAACAGGAAGTAAAGAGGTACACAAACCCCTGGGGCACCTTGACAAGTGATGTTCTCGGTCTGGATTTTAGCTGCCTACACAATGCAGGGACTCATTTTCACACACGCACAAACACACTCCAGGGTGTTTGCCGACTCCCTGTTTCGTACACACAATATGGACGCCCAGAATAGTTATCCAACAGGATGACGACCGTTATAAAGTCAACAGTCCAGTGTTTGACTGTCAGCATCGTACATTTTCAGATTAGCCTTTTGTTTTGACACTCACAATATGTTCACTCAAAATACTTCTCTTGTAAACAAAAGAGCTGCTAAAAAAAAAAGACACATTTAAGCCTGGATTTATGTGGTTGGTACTCCTACTTCACACCATCCTGCAGCTTTGTACAACAACATGACAAAACTAGATGTTGATGTTGGCAGGCTTTACACTGTGGGACAGGTGCTACGAGGAGGCAGCTGGTCCTAGTGAAAGCACACAATCATACCTCAGCCGAGCCCGATTTGGCCCCTTTTTTTAATGTATCATTCACATTTTAGGTAGATTAATCGAGGTTTTACCTTGCTGTTAAATGACATTTGAAAACCAAACAGCAGTGCATATAATCAACAAGTAAAAACAACCTTTCACAGGCTTTACAGCAACTCCAAAACATCTATAATAACAGTTGTTCCTGGCCTGGATACATGTGCTGAATTTATAATTAAGGAAAACACATCTTGAAGTTAAACTTCCACCTGTGCACGCAATCATTTCAGACACTATGAACAGTACAGACTGCTTCCTCTGACCAGACCTGTCACTGGCCTGCAGTCAGAATACTAAACACCAGAGGAGAGACACCACAGACGGACACCTCCTGCGTGCTAATACTGACAAACAACTGTAGCAGTCTAAAAGCTGCCGATATGACAACGTTTAAGTTTGAACCCTTTCCCCCGTCAAACTGCTTTTCTCTCCTACTGCATATTTGTTTCTTGATGGTATAAATGAATTACTGAGACAGACAGCCAATTAAAAAGCACAAACGGGGCACTGTCTAATAAGAGCCGTCTTTATTAACGTGGGTCTATTGTTCTGTCAGCCACCACTCTAATGAATTGTAACCAAACTCGGATGCAACCCTAATTCAATTTGATGCTTATGAAAGCCTAGAATAAGTTGCTTTGGACAAAAATATAATGATTATTATGCTATCAACCAGAAGATGCAGCATTCACTTTTTAATGTTAAATAACTGGATCCTTGGATTTGAATTAATTAGAAAGGCCTCATTCATTTTGTTTTCATAAAAAAAAATCATATATAGTTATGCAAGTTTTAAAAAGGGTAAATGAGAGAAAAACATTTAAAAACCTAAACTTTATGA